CCTGGGCCTCCTACCGCCCTTGCACCTCCCACCTCCCAGTGATGCTGTTTCCCTGTTCCAGGCTATGGCTTTGTGGATTTTGACAGTCCTTCAGCAGCACAGAAAGCTGTGACAGCACTGAAAGCCAGTGGCATACAGGCACAGATGGCAAAGGTAGGGGTGACACTCGTGTCTGTCCCTCTGAGGGGTTTGTGCTTAACACCAAAGTTCTAGTACCAAGGTTTCCAGAGGGCTTAGGAATCATGGAATTGAATGGGCAAGAGCTGGCTGCCCTGCACCTGCCAGAGACAGTCTGGGCTTCAGGGATCCACTGAGGCCTGCGGGCTGCTGGAGGAAGGTCAGCTCAGTCCCTGGCAGGTAGCTCTGTCAACTCTGCTCCTCTCATGGAGGTATTAGAAGTAAGCAAGAGGGTCAGGAGTCCTCTCCCAGTCCTCTGCCGCCCTGCTCCCACTGCCCTCTGGACAGATTGTGGTAGTTTTGCAACATTCTCTGAAGAGGCCAATTATGCAACTCAGAAGTTCAGAAAAATGCTCTCCAGCTCCCAATGCCATTCCCTGAAGGGGCAGGGAAACCACAGCAAGGAAGGAAATTGTCCCTCCTCAGGTCTGTAGGAAGCTGTGGTTTTCATCTGGCCTCCTGGACAGTTTTTCCCTTTCACTTCTGTAGGGCAGGATGGTCCCCTCGCCTTCCTGAAGCTGTTATGGATACTGCGTGCAGAGCTGGTGACAGGCCAGCCAACTGCCCTTCTGTGATGGCTGGAAGAAAAGGGAAAAGGCAGCAGAGGGATTTAGGTTGCTGCTATCCACCATTCAGGGCACAGTGACTGCCTAAATGCTTAAAGACACAGCTGTCAGAAGACACTGCCGTTTTGCACATTCTGCCCTCAGTAATGGCTCTCCTACTTCTTCCTTCTAGAGTAAAACTCTCTGACAAAAGCTTAAAGGTTCAGGAGCCCTCAGGGTTCATAGGAGACTAGAGCTTTCAAGGTGGTGGCCCAAGGACCTACACATCTAGCTCTTCTTCTGACCCCTTCTCCCCTCTTCCTGCTTTTTCTCCACTAGGGAATGAGCAGGCATTCCTACTCAGAGGATTCTTGGCTGGAAGAGAAGAAGGGGAGGAAGGGTTACACAAAACAGTCCACCAGGAGCAAGGCAGTCCCAGAGAATGCAGCCTTTGGGACAAGCTGTTGCAGAGGGGAGTACCCTGCCTGCTTCTTAAAGAGACAGCCAGACACCAAGATACCACTAGTGACTTGGATTATCTGCTTGTACAGTACTAGAAACGTTGAATCTTGGGCAGTGCCTGTGGCTCAGTGGGTAGGACACTGGCCCCATATACCAAGGGTGGTGGGTTCAAACCCAGCCCTGTCCAAACTGTAACAAAAAAATTGCTAGGCCTTGTGGTGGGCCCCTGTGGTCCCAACTACTCCGAAGCCTGAGGCAAGAGAATTGCCTTCTAAGCCCAGGAGTTGGAGGTTGCTGTGAGCTGTGTGATGCCATGGCACTCTATCCAGGGCGATAAAGTGAGACTCTGTCTCCAAAAAAAAAAAAAAATAGAAACAATGAATTTTTTTTTTCTCCCTGAACCCAATATATAAGCTGTGGTGGTAGGTCTGGGTGTTATAGATAATTAGATTCCCTTTGTTTATATATAGGGACCTTTCCTATAGTCTCTTTTCTGAAGTGTCATTTTGTGGATAAGGGCTGCGGGGGAGGGATAATACATGAGAGCCTCATTTTCTCACTTCTATCTGCATAGCAACAGGAGCAGGACCCTACAAATTTATATATCTCAAACCTCCCCCTGTCAATGGATGAGCAAGAACTGGAGGGGATGCTGAAGCCCTTTGGCCAGGTTATCTCCACCCGAATACTTCGCGATACCAGTGGAACTAGCAGAGGGGTTGGCTTTGCAAGGTAAGGGATGGCAAGAAATGGTGAGGTTAATAAACAATGTTGCCAGCTGAGAATGGGGGCTCATGCCTGTAAT